GCCGAGCTAGCAATGGCTGAGCGCTCAAGCTCGTTTATAGAGAGGGCTTGAGGTGGGGGCAGAGGGCAGACTGGCCGGAGGGGAGAGGGGAGAAGGAAGCGGGTGGGCAGTGGACACCATCTAGATCTTGCGAGAGAGAGAGAGAGGGGGGGATTGTTCCGCGAGTCGGGGTAGATTATTTTGAGCCCAGGGATTGAACGGGGATGGGGCAGGATATCCCTCTCCTCCGCAACAACCAAATGCATAGACAAGTAGCCCCGGATTGGGTTTCCACGGGTGGGAGCTGCCCAGGGAAAGGGCGGGGATCCCAGGAAACCAAATGAGCCCTCAAAGTGCATTCCTCAACAAAATAAAGGTATAGAGCTTACACATACATCAAATTCCATAAGCACTATAGGAAACTACTATCTCTGTCCGGAATTAGTTGGCGCTCGTAGTGAGTGTCAATTAATTTTGGATGAAGGAAGTAGATGATACCCCACACATTTTTGGGAGAATGTATCGCAACATATTTTAATAAGATTCGGTTGTTTGAAACATGAATGTTAGAGTATTAATATGAGAACTAAACTCAAATATATATGATTTATTGTTTTAATATTGTATAGTTGCAAAAAAGATCAGTTATAAATAGCATAATAGAGTGGAAACTAATATGCATTTCTGCATGTTGAGTTTGGGTTTTCCTATGCATCGTTTGCATATCGAGGTGAATCTTTTCTCATGTTGGCATGCTAAGATATCATGCTTGCATATTGAAAAATTTGTTAGTAGGGGCTAGCTATTAGATATAAAAGAGTAGACATCGCATTCTGAGAATGAGATATGAAAATCGGGACCCACATGCACATGCCATTGGAGATAGAAGTCGAGGCGAATTAAAGGTTCTAGATCAATACCTGCTTGCTGCCATTTCGAGCGATGTCATTATCGCTTAGCCTTGACACATCACTAGAAGGGTGGGCGCGCTTCACAGTGTTGTTGGTATCATGGAGATTTCATTAAAATGTTATCTGGTTTGGCGCATGGGGAGATGATGGAGTGTGTTTTCCTTTTTACAAAATGCGGTGTTTGGGTAGCCTCTTTTTGGCAGAGTGATTCCGTGTTATCTGCTAATCAACCCACACGCGTATGCGAAAATATTTCTTGTGTTGTTGGTCACACATACTATATTGATGTTACAGTGGCGCATGTTGACGATCATTGTACCTGTCAAAACATGAACCAAATACAAAATTGAACACCTCGGTCAAATGAGAGAGCTTCAAAAATAGGGATGGCACCATTTTCTCAAGGAAGCAGTCAGGGATGGACAGTCACTCCAATTTAGGTGTTAGAATGACTTTGCAGAAATGTGATGGGCCCGCGTCCTCATAAAAATGGTTGGAATTCTTCTTCCTCACTGAGGCCTCTTTCCGGCGCTGACGTCTGCCACTTCCTCGCCCTTTGCGACCTACTTGTCCTCGGAGGCTTGAGGCGGTCGCCCTTCAGCATTTGCCATCACCAACATTATCGATGACCGGCTTCCGAATAGAAAGACTGCAATGAAGAACTAAGCATGATCAATTGGATGTTCATGTAGCATGGACCAGTATCGACCATATATCGACATGGAAACTGACCAAAATCTAGCCCTATATTGACATGACAACTGACCAAAATCTGACTCTATATCGACATGGCAACTAACCAAAATCAGACCCCTATATTGACTACATATGGACGGTCAAATCAAACTCTTAACCGGCACCCTAAATCGAAGCCTAAATCAAACCCTAAAACCAAGCTTAAGCCAGAACCCAACTTGAACCCTAAATCTAGCTGTATTAACCCCTTAGTCTGTCCCTAGATTGAATTGTCGAAGTATAAATCCATGCCTAAATCGATGGCTACATCGTTTCCTAAATCAGGAAGACAAGGAATTACCATCATTGAAGAAGAGGTGGCGAAGGGGTGATGAAGCGGTGATCAAGTTCGTGGTCGCCGTCGGTGCTCCTCGTCCAGATCTTGCTGCCATCGATGCTCACCGCCAAAAGGGAAGAGTAGACGATGAAA